CATTGACTATTGGTTGGTTGATGCTCACTCTGGTTGGGTTGGTCTTGACTTGGGTTGACCCTTGGGTTGGTTGTGGCTTTTTTGACCATAAATGGAGTTGATTTTTGGGCTGGTCTTGGTTTCATTGACGATTGTTGGGTTGGTGTTGACTTTGGGTCGGTCTTGGCCTCGTTGACCGTTGGTTGTTGATGTTGACTTTGGTTGGGTTGGTCTTGACTTGGGTTGACCCTTGGGTTGGCCTTGACTTCATTGACCATCGGTTGGTTTGACCCTTGGGTTGATCTTGATCTCATTGACTGTTGGTTGGTTGATGTTGATTTTGGGTTGGTCTTGGGTTGATTTTCATTGACCATCAGTTGGTTTGACCCTTGGGTTGCTCTTCATTGACCATCAGTTGGTTTGACCCTTGGGTTGCTCTTCATTGACCATCAGTTGGTTTGACCCTTGGGTTGGTTTTTATTGACCATCAGTTGGTTTGACCCTTGGGTTGGTCTTCATTGACCATCAGTTGGTTTGACCCTTGGGTTGCTCTTGACTTCATTGACCATCAGTTGGTTTGGCCCTTGGGTTGGTCTTGACTTCATTGACCATCAGTTGGGTTGACCCTTGGCTTGGTTTTCGTTGACCATCAGTTGGTTTGACCCTTGGGCTGCTCTTCATTGACCATCAGTTGGTTTGACCCTTGGGTTGCTCTTCATTGACCATCGGTTGGTTTGACCCTTGGGTTGGTCTTCATTGACCATCAGTTGGGTTGACCCTTGGGTTGGTCTTCATTGACCATAAATGGAGTTGATTCTTGGGCTGGTCTTGGTTTCATTGACAGTTGTTGGGTTGGTGTTGACTTTGGGTCGGTCTTGGCCTCGTTGACCGTTGGTTGTTGACGTTGACTTTGGTTGGGTTGGTCTTGACTTGGTTTGATCTTTGGGTTGGTCTTGACTTCATTGACCATCGGTTGGTTTGACCCTTGGTTGATCTTGACGTCATTGGCTCTTGGTTGGTTGATGTTGATTTTGGGTTGGTCTTGGGTTGGTCTTCATTGACCATCAGTTGGTTTGACCCTTGGGTTGGTCTTCATTGACCATCAGTTGGTTTGACCCTTGGGTTGGTCTTGGTTCTGTTGACCCTTGGGTGGTTTGACCTTGGGTTGGGTTGACCCTGGATGACCTTGGGTTGACCTTGGATGTCCCTGGATGACCCTGAGTGTCCTTGGGTTGGGTCAGGTTGACCTTGGGGTGACCTTGGGTGCTCTTGATGACCTTGGGTTGGGTTGGGTTGACCTTGGATGTCCCTGGATGACCTTTGATGACCTTGGGCTGGGTCGGGATGATCTTGGGTTGGTTGACCTTGGGTTGGTTGACCTTGGGTTGACCCTGGATGACCTTGGGTTGGATGAGGTTGACCTGGGTGGTCTTGGATGACCTTGGGTTGGGTTGACTTTGGGTTGGGTTGACCTTGGTTGACCTTGGGTGCTCTTGGATGACCTTGGGTTGGGTTGACCTTGAGTTGGGTTGACGTTGGATGTCCCTGGATGACCTTTGATGACCTTGGGTTGGGTCAGGATGATCTTGGGTGACCTTGGGTGCTCTTGGATGACCTCAAATGATGTTGGGTTGACCTTGGGTGACCTTGGGTTGACCTTGGATGACCTTGGCTGCTCTTGGATGAAGTTGGGTTGACCTTGGATTGGGTTGACCTTGGATGACCTTAAATGTCCTTGGGTTGGATGAGGCTGACCTGGGTTGACCTTGGGTTGACCTTGGATGTCCCTGGATGACCTTTGATGACCTTGGGTTGGGTTGACCTTGGGTTGGTTGA